TAAAAATAAATAATGTGTAAAAACTTTTTCTTTGGGCTTTTAATGTCACTCATTCCAGCCCTGTCACTACAAATAATTCATAAATACATTAATGGTGAGCTTGTCAGAGCACTTGATGCTTGGTGTGTCTTCCTTCAGAGCTATTGATGTGACCATCAGGTTATGAACATGGTATTTGTGTCTCCCACAGACATGAAGAGCTGTCTCCTGTGCCCCAAGGAACAGTACTCGAGCCACAGCAGAGACCGCTGCCTGCCCAGGACAGAGATCTTCCTGGCCTTTGATGAACCCCTGGGACTGGTACTCACTCTCGTGGCCATCTTCCTGGCTGGTCTGGCTGCGCTGGTCCTCGGAGTGTTCCTGAAGCACCGCGACACGCCTGTGGTGAAGGCCAACAACCGAGCCCTCAGCTACGTGCTCCTGACCTCCCTTTTCCTCTGTGCCCTCTGTCCCTTGCTCTTCCTCAGTCGACCCTCTGCCACCACCTGCCTCCTCCGCCAGACCACGTTTGCCATGGTGTTCACCCTGGCTGTCTCCTCTGTTCTGGCCAAGACCCTCACAGTGGTCCTGGCCTTCAGGGTTACCAGGCCAGGGGACAGGGTCCAGGTGTGCCTGAGCCCCGGTGCCTCTAGCTCAGTGGTCCTGGCTGCTTCCTTAATGCAGGTTGTTCTCTGTGGGGTCTGGCTGGCCACTTCCCCACCATTCCCAGACAGGGATATGGTCTCAGAGCCCAGCCACATTGTCATCCAGTGCCAGGAAGGTTCTGGTACCGCCTTCTCCTGTGTGCTGGGCTACCTGGGCCTCCTGGCAGGGGGCACTTTCTCTGTGGCTTTCCTGGCCAGGGGTCTGCCAGATGTCTACAACGAGACTAAGTACCTCACCCTCAGCATGCTGCTCTTCTGCAGCGTCTGGATGGCCTTCCTGCCCCTGTAGCACAGTGCCCGGGGCAAATCCACTGTGGCTGTGGAGATCTTCTCTATCCTGGCCTCCACTGCCGGGCTTCTGGGTGGCATCTTCATCCCCAAGTGCTACCTCATCTTGCTGAAGCCTAAGCGGAACACACCTGCCCAGGTCAGGTGAGGACACCAAACTCAGTGGGGAAGGCAGAATGAGGTGATCTGGAACAGGTGTCACCCTGGGTCTGTAGCACAAAACCCACTGATCTAGTCCTCAAGGAAGACAGCAGGACCACAAGGTTTTGGTTCACTGCTTCTGTTTGTTTTTGTATTTTTTTTTGAGACAAGGTCTCCCTGTAGCCCCAGCTGACCTAAAACTCACTATGCAGACCAGGCTGGCCTGGATCTCATAGAGATTGCCTGCATCTCCCTCCCAAGTGCTGGGATTAAAGGCAGGGGGCACTACACTGGGCAGCTCACTGGTTTTGCATGGATTAAAATGTACTTAACAGACAGATCACGAGTGAGGTGAGATACACAGAAAAACTGTTGTGTGGAGGTGGTGGGCATATAGATGTCACTGATGCAGACCAGGCTGGCCTGGATCTCATAGAGATTGCCTGCATCTCCCTCCCAAGTGCTGGGATTAAAGGCAGGGGGCACTACACTGGGCAGCTCACTGGTTTTGCATGGATTAAAATGTACTTAACAGACAGATCACGAGTGAGGTGAGATACACAGAAAAACTGTTGTGTGGAGGTGGTGGGCATATAGATGTCACTGACTGTTCTCTTCACAGCTCAGAGTATCTGAACTGGTTGGGTGGGTGGCAAAGTGGCTCATCAGGTATTTGCCAACAAGTCTGATAGCTTGAGTTCAATCCACAGGACCCACATGGTAGAAAGAGACAACTGACTCCACAAAGTTGTCCTCTGACTACCACCTGTCCACCATGGTGTACGTGCACACACATGTTCACACATGCACATCCATACACACATGTGCACACGCACATGCACCATTTGTACTCACACATCATATGCACACACAAAATAATGTAAAAATTATTTTTAAAAAGAAGGTTTGTAAAAGCTGATGGGATGAGGAGGAGGGGGAGGGGGGAGGAAAAAGCAGGAGGAGGAGGAGGAGGACGACGACAATGACGACGATGACAGGAATTGGTGAGGATGTGAGAATTTGAAACCGCCACTCACTGCCATGAAAGTAAAATGCAAATTCAACAGACAGGTCCTAGATTTCCTTTATTTGGGCAGTGCTTTGGATTGAACCTAGGGCATCTTTCAGGGGGGGCAAGTACTCTACCGCCGAGCTACAACCGCAGACCTTTTTGGCAGTTACCATGTGACTTGGCAATCTCATTCTTAGGTATATACCCAAGAAAAAGGAAAACACATCCACCAAAAGTGCAAATGAATCTTCGGGGAAGCTTTAATCATAAGGTAAAAAGTGGAAATCATCTAAATGCTGATAGTTGATGAATGTTCAGCGTGGCACATCCATCAGCAGAACTTTATTTGCAATAAGAAGGAAAATGATACTGTTTCCTGTGTTCTACAATATGGATGAACCTTGAAAACATGCTGAGTTAAGGAAGCCAAAGAAAACCTTGTACTGTAATATTCCATTTATTTGAAATACCCTGAAGACACAAACCCATGGAGATATATCTGAGGCTAGAGGTTTCCCAGGACTCGGGGATGGGAGATCGGAGGTTGGGAGTGAAGACCTAAGGAAACAGTGCTTCTGACGAAATTCTAAAATTCGCTTGGTTATGGCTGCCAGTTTCCATGAATGTACTAAACACCACTACACTGTCAGCTCCTTTCACGTGTCTTTTTTTGAGCAACGTCTTTCCATGTAGCCTTGGTACTTGCTATGTAGCTCAGGCTGATCAGAAAACCATAGAATCCTGCCTCAGCCTCCTGAGTGTTGAGATTACAGGTGTGCTGCCACACCTGGAAAACTGCACTTCAATTGAATGAAATGTATTCCATGTGAATTATATCTCAATAAAGCACATATTAAAAAGAATTATCTATCAATTACAAAATGTGGACTTTTATTATATTATGTTTTTTAAAATGATCAAATATTTTAAATGAAGTAAGTTGCTATAGGCTGAAATAATCATCATTGATATAAAGGAGTTATTGTTGATTTTTCAAAAGATTTATTTATTTTTATTTTATGCATGTGAATATTTGCCTGCATGTTTGTATGTCTACAATGTGCATGTTTAGTGCCCACAGAGGCCAGAAGAGGGCATCAGAGCCCCTGGTACTGCAGTTACAGACATCTAAGCCATGATGTGGATGCTGGTCCTCTGCAAGAGCAGCCAGTGCTCATATTCACTGAGTGATCTATCCAGCCCTGCTGATTTGCTTTTAACTTTAATAAAGGGATTTTGGTTTTTAGAAAATGGTACTTAACTTTTGGAATTATACACAGCATCTGAAATGAAATAAAGTTTGGGAGTTGTTCTCAAATGACACAAAATGGCCCCCTTCTGACCTCCTAGAGCATTGCACATCACAGGTGCACTTACATGTAGGCAAAACACTCATACACATCAAATAAAAACATTAAAAACTTAAAACCTGTGGCAGTGGTGGTGTTGAATGCAGGACCCATGTCAGCTCAATTAAACAAGGGCCCAAAGAGGAAATGAGAAATAGGTGGCGGGCCAGCACTAGATTGAGAACTATTTGAGACTGATTCTGTTATAGGACAGAGTTCATAAAAAAATCACCAACACCACTTTAAGAAAAGTAGCAAGGTAAATTTTAATTTTCGACCGTGTGGTTGATGAAATTAACCAATTTCTTTTAACTGTCAAGGTCAATTGAGGATTTTGTTCTCAGAGGTCCCTTGGGCTTGGGAGGAGCCTCTGGCTCCTTTAACATTCCTTTTACCAGATTTTGTAGCTACATGAGGATAAATCAAAAGCCTTACTTAGCTTTCCCTTGGAAGCTTTGAGAAATTATTTTCCTCTGTGTTGACCCTCATCTTTGAATTGGATTCTGGTTTGAGTCCACCTGGTAGAGCCTCCTTGAATAAGGACAGATGAGTCACCAGAGTTACAGGAAATTTCAGAAGATACCTCATAGTCCATGGAGATTTAGTTGACATTGGAAGGCAAGGGGAAAATATTGTCTTTTTAAATCCCTCTGAACATGGTAGTATATGCCTCTGAGTATAGTTATTAAATATGTATTGGTCAGTTACACCAGTCTGGGACTTTAACTATTGCATAATATGTAGACAAAGCTTGAGCAAAAACCCAGTGTTCTTAAATAAACTTTGATTAGACATATAATTTGTTTTTGCCGGCCCTTATAATTGTTAATAAGAATAGATCAATGGCTCTATTAATTCAGTGGAAGTTATAATTGAACTTTGACTTTACAATTATTAAGATAATTTATATCATCTCCAAGTCTAACCTTTTACTCAAAGTAGAATACCCAGATCCTCAGAAGTTTCATAAACATGCTCGTTTTCTTTTTCATTCTGGAAACATCCAGTCATCTTAATCTTCATACCCAAATCCTTCTTTACTAAAACCACTTCCACTTTCACTTTCTCCTAACATTTTACTTATTGATTCTCTTTCCTTCCTTCCTTCCTTCCTTCCTTCCTTCCTTCCTTCCTTCCTCTTTCATGTGTGTGTTTTTATGGTGTGTGTGTGCTTGTATGCATGTTCACATGTGCATGAGTGTACATGCATGTGTGCAGTGCATTTATATATGCATGTGTGCATGTTCACATGTGTATGCATGTGAACACATGCATGAGTGCACATGCACATGTGTGCATGTATTCATGTTCACCTGTGTGTGAGTGCACATATGTGGTGTGTGTATGAATGCGTGTTCACATGTGTGTGAATGTATGCATGTGCATGGTGTGGTGTGTGTCTGCATATTCACATATGTGAGCACACATGCACATGTGGTGTGTGAATGTATGCATGCTCATGTGTGTGAGTGTACATGTGAGGTGTGTGTGTGCATGTATGCATGTTCACATTGAGTATGTGCATGCATGTGTATGTCCATGCAGAAGCCAGAAGGTGACTTCAGGTGTCTTCCTTGACTGCTCCCACTTTATATACTGAGGTAGGGTCTCTTCCTGACCCCAGAGCTTGCCAAGTCTGCCTAGTCTAGGTAGCCCTGGGATCCCCTGTATCTGCCTCTGGAGTGCTGGAATGGCAAGCAGCCACCACACCTGCCTAACTTGTGCATGGCTGCTATAGATCTGAACTGTAGTCCTCATGCTATGTGGCAAGTGCTTTATCCACTGAGCCATCTCCCCAGCTACCCCACACACATATGCAAGCTATTTCTTCAAACTAATCAGCCTAGTGTCCAGGGAGAATTACTGAGAGAGGAAGCCTGGGACACAGAATGTGCAGTTCCACAGCCTGGAAAGGGCCATCTCTCATGGGGCTTCTTTCTAACCCTTCATTCTTTTCAGCCTCCCTTGATTACATCTTTCTGAACATTTTCCTCACTATAAGAATTCAGAATATTTTAAGCAAAGCAGGACTGATGTGCTGCAGCCTGCCCTGGAGATGGCAACATTGAGAGGTCTCGTTTTCCCTGGCATGCCACTATTGAGTGGTGACAGTATTCAGTCACAAGATGGACACAAAGAATCAACAGGGAGAGCTTCTGTAGGGAGATGTGTTCAAGAAAACTGGAAACACTTGACAGTTTAGGGCACTGGATAGAAAGAAAGAAAGAAAGAAAGAAAGAAAAGAAAAGAAAAGAAAAGAAAAGAAAAGAAAAAATGATGGAAAGAAGGAAAAAAAAGTTACTCAGACCCAGCAGAATCTCATGATGGCTTGGTAGTGACTGTGTTAGGGGTCAGGAATTCTGGGAACAAAACATAGATTGTCTCTTTAAAGAGATGATTATATATCCCTATCTCTTTAGCATGACTTAAAGCGGATCTGCCTTCCGAAAGAGTGGTTCTTTGGCCAAGTGACCGACTGGCCTATCTGAATTAACTCTTTTATTGTAGCTTGGAATGTTAGGTCTCCACCATGCCAGAGACATAGCTTTCCCTAATGAGCTTCTGCAGGACCCTGATCTAGGCCACTGTAACATCCTGCCACCACAAATCCCAGATGCAGGACATGGGGCTACAGGATTTTATGTCTGCCCTGCTGAGGTTCAGTTTCCTTTGGGCCCATCTCTCCTTTCTATGCCCCCATTTCTCCATTTTGGAATGGGAATATTTGTTCTG